ATTTTATTTTATTGTTTTTTTTTTTTTTTTAAAGGAATAGACAAATAAACAGTGTTGGAAGAGACTAGATACTTTTTATTTTAAATTTTCTAATTTTATAAGTAAGGCACCCTGAGAAGAGAAGTCACTAACTCCAATCACACAGCTAGAGATTCCAGATAGTCTTAACATTGCAGCATCATGACTCTCAATTTATTCCAATCTCTTTATTAACAGGTACAAAGAAACACTAACGCATGGCTGATGCTAATTTTACATTGGTTACAAAGTTTATCCTTTTGGGATTGACAGATCGTGCTGAACTGAAGGTGGTCCTCTTCGTGTTGTTCCTGCTGATATATTCCATTTCCTTGGTGGGGAATCTAGGAATGCTCTTTCTAATCCAAGTAACTCCCAAACTTCACACACCCATGTATTATTTCCTTAGCTGCCTGTCATTTCTTGATGCCTGCTATTCATCAGTTTTTGCACCCAAAATGCTGCTGAACTTCTTTGTGGAACAGGAGACAATCTCATACTCTGCATGCATTGTTCAGTATTTTTTATTCGTGTCACTTCTTACCACTGAAGGCTTCTTACTGTCGGCAATGGCTTATGACCGTTATATGGCTATCGTGAACCCTTTACTTTACGCAGTGGCTATGACTAAGATATTTTGTGCTGTTCTGGTCACTGGCTCATGTGTAGGAGGTTTAATCAACTCACTGACACACACAATTGGCTTGGTGAAACTGTCTTTCTGTGGGCCAAATGTCATCAGTCACTTCTTCTGTGACCTCCCTCCCCTGTTGCAGCTGTCATGTTCTGACACATCCATGAATGAATTGTTGCTTTTAATCTTCTCTGGCATTATCGCCATGATCACTTTCTTGACTGTGATGGTCTCCTACGTCTTCATTGTTGCTGCCATCCTGAGGATCCGCTCAGCTGCAGGTAGACAAAAAGCCTTTTCCACTTGTGCCTCTCATCTAACAGCTGTGACCTTATTCTATGGCTCAATAAGCTTTAGTTACATTCAACCAAGCTCCCAATACTCCTTAGAACAAGAAAAGGTGGTATCTGTATTTTACACCCTGGTGATTCCTATGTTAAATCCATTGATTTACAGCCTAAGAAACAATGAAGTGAAGGACGCTGTAAAAAAGGCCATAGAAATGAAATATTATTCTTGTTAATTTTATATTATATGTGAACAAAAATAAGATAAAATCACCAGTGGATTGTTTAATGATATCTGTAAAGATTTAGGAAATTTTCAATCCCACAGGAACCTCAGAGTTTACTTAATTGGAGCTCTGTGTTTTACAGCCAAAGATAGAAGCCTAGAAGAATAACATGCCATAGGACACGTGGCTGGTTATTATGTTAACTAATCTAAAAACCAGACTAAGATTTAAGGTCATTATCTCTAGATTGGTAATGATAATTTAATTTCTTTATATGAGTTAAAATGAATATAAACATATATGAGGGTACTTCAAAAAGTTTGTTGAGAAATAGAGTTAAAAGATAATACAAAACTATCCATGAACTTTCTGAAGTACCCTTGTAGATACATAGACACTCAAACACACAAGCAAATAGAGAGAGAGAAACCTAAAATCCATAAGTAATACAATATCTACTAGCTTGGTCTCATTATTGAGCATGGAAATAAGTAAAAGATGTTAGTGAGCACAGAAAGAACTAAAATAGGTTCAAGGCTAAAAGTACTGGTACTTGGCATTGTCTAGAAAATGGACAGATACATGTTTCAGAAATTAGTCTGGATTACTTATGGCCATTTATTCTTCAAAATAAAGGTGCACACTCAAAACTACTTACAGAAAACATGGTTCTAGATGACTTTTCCATGCAGAAGGATTACTCTAAACCTTTTCCCTCTTTCTGGCCTCCGTTTCCACTACTATATATAAAATCAAATAGGACAGAATACCACAACTTTGTTACCGCTCCACATAGAAGGGCCATAAATTCTAAGAGAAAGCTTGCTCTGAAGAATTTCTAAACATGAATTACTTAGGAATCATTAGGGAGTCATTAGCAATCAGATTTGCCGCTCCCCTTAACTTCAGGATATTCCAGAATTCTTTTTAGACATTAAACAAAAAATTCCTTGAAGAGGTATTCAAGGTAAGGAGAACTTATGTTCTGTAGTCCAGGTAGGGGAAATCTAGGAAGCTGTTGGTTTTCCTTTCAATTCCAATTATGTATACAAGTCCATCATCATAAAATCAAGCCCACAAATACTAATTGATTCAAAATTTCTTCTCAAATTTCTGTGAATCCATCTGGGATAAAATATTTAGAAAAGAAAAGCAAACAGTAATATAGAGAGCATTTTCATTTACAAATAAAATAATATTAAGTTTTTGGAATCTAATCAAATATTGAAATAATGAGGCAAATGAGCTAAGCAGCACTAGGCAACAGCTGAAGACTCATGAATATTAATTCATAATTTTACATGGAAGGCTAGGTTAAACTTTTATTTTTTTCTTCTCAGTGACAGCCAAGATTATATAAGTGAATATAACCAGTATCTGTATAAATGAAAGTAAAGGTTGCATATTAAAATGCTTATTTTATTAGACATTCAGTCAAACAAATTGGTATGAAAGTTTAATTTCCAGGGTGAAATAATAACAATAGGAATAAAAATAACATCAACATATACTGCTTCTGTAGCTCTTCACGATTTTTCCAGACCATCATATATAATACTTATAATTAGGTGCCAAAAGGTGAAATACATGTGACATTCATATATATGAGACATTTATTTGTATGAAAGGTTACGTTTTTAGAAAGAAATAAAAATAATAATAAAAATAACAATAATGATAAAACCTAATTTTATGTAGACTTTCACAGTTTTTAAGAGCATTCAATATGTTATATCCTAGAGTATGAAACACAAAGAATGTTATCCAGAAAAGATAATTGAAACTCAGAAAAATAAAGTGAGCTACTTATAAATTCTCTTACTATTTACACCCTGTAAAAGAAAGGGCTGGTGTACCAGGATGCAGACAATGTAACACAGTTCACTAAGTGTGTATGTGTGAGAAGGTGTGATATTTCATATGATAAAAATATTTTTCTGTGTGTAGTATGAACCTTCAATTCATCTTAATAAATAAGTATTACATTATACTAACAAGAACTAGGTGCTTTGATGAAAAAAATTATCACTCCCATAGAATTCTGAAGGAAATGGAGGAAGCTGGTAGCAGATTTAATAATGTAGACTGGAAAATCATTAATTATTCCTGCTTTCATCAAAAGTATATAAAAAAGCTATATTATATGTTTATTCATATATTATATATTTTTATATTTATATATAATATATGTTATATATAGCATTATTCTGAAATTAAATAAAACTAATTTAAGCATATTCCAAATGTTCTTAAATGGTTGATGTAGCTAGTCAGCAGGAAATAAATGAGGACTTCATCAGTGAAATATCTGATGCTACACCACTGATTGACATGTAAAATATCAGGTAAAAAATCTGAGGATATACACTCGTAGCCTCAGTTCCTTCACTTCATTAATAAAATTGGTTACTGCCCTGCACTTGGAGAAATGAAGACTCAGAAGACATTTATTTTGCATAACTTTCTCCTACGTTCCTAGTTTTCCTCTAGGTTCTAGATTCTTTATCAAATATATGGGGGTTTTTTTGTTTGTTTGTTTAATTTTTATTCCATATGTGTAGACTTGGAGTTTGCAATTTGGAAATTCACCTACTCATGCACTCATCAGGAAAATAAATTGCTGGCACCATGTGGACCGATTATGGCTACATTTGTATCCTGCTCATGTTTTTTACTTATCTGGAGACTCAGGAACAAATGAAATGGATTTATGTTTCTAAGATTTAAGGTTTGGTCCTGTTCCATGAGCACATAGAGATTATATTGATCTCAGCGATCATGGCAATTTTCTGCTGTCCTTGGTCAAATGTGGCCTGTATACAAATTCCAGCTCTCAAAATCATGGACATCTAGTGATCAAAGAACGATCTCATCAAAACTCTAATTTGATGTGGAATAAAAATACTGAGTAAAATAAATAATTATATATATATATATACATATATATATATATATATTTATATATATATATATTTTTTTCAATTAAGCAAGACATACCTCTTTCCTTAGAGCTTACATAGCCTTAGATATGTCTTACAAACACTTAGAATTCATGTGTTATTGTTCCTATTCTTAGACTTCTCAGATGCTCAGTTTTTGCTAGATACCCTCCTGCGTCGTATGATTTCTAAAGTGCAAACTTGTGAAATGTCTTTAATTATTCTGAATCACCTGTAATGTGAATCATGCGAATCAGAATATTTAATTAAATAAAATTGTACAATGGTTAGGGATAATAGCTGTGATGTGCCTGGAAATTAGTAGGCACTTAATAAATGGAACCATTCCAACTTCTCGACTTTTGTTGGTCAGACAAAAACGAACAGCAAAAAAATACTCTATTTAACAAGACTGATTATATTTCCTGTGTGTTAGTCCATTTTCACTATTGCTTCATTTTAAAATAATTGCAAATTATCACCACCATGTTCCTGGGCAGTTATGGTTGTTGATTTGGTTGCATTTGACCTACATTGGTAATTGATTTGTTCTCCGTTACCTCTCCTCCTTTTTCACATTTAGCTCACCATTTCACCCTGCATTCATCACCATTTATATTTTTCATTCCATTCTCCAATTATCAGTCTACTCAATATTTCTAAAACTTACTTTTATGTTTAGCCAATATATTGACAAATATGGTAATTCTGATATATATCCTGGTGTTGTAATTGTATAAATTACCCTTAGTATTAAAAAGTACTATACTGTTATGAAAATGCACACATTCTGTTTAGTAATTGCTTCCACTTCTTTGGAGCCATTTCATATCAAAACATGCATATATTTTACATAATTCTAGAAATAGATTGAAGAATATGTCCATCAGCACATGGAATTTAGGGCTGTTTAAAAGTAATTTATATAATATATTTCATATAATATGTATGTATAATTAAATTATGCAAATTATAATTATAAACACGGGTGGTGTTGATTTTTTTAATTTTATTTTTAGTTGTAGAAATTTGTGGGGTATAACATGATATTTTGTTTTTTTCCTTGTGGATCCTCAAATATGTGAGACAAAAATATCTGTGAAAATTTTTCTCTAAAATTGTGGAAAGGCCAAATAAATGAATCGCCATACTTTGGAAAGAGTACTATGGCCTTACTTTCCTCAGGCCTATCTTCAGCTGTTTTAATGAAACTTAGTGATTATAAAATCACTGGGGATTTCATCCACCAAGGGCCCTAAGCCAAATATAAATGCAAAAGTCAGGAAATTCAGAGAAAAATGTCAGGGCTTCCTTTCAGAGCTAGGTAGGTGTCATGTATATGCGTTCTAACAAAGGGATCACAAATGCCTTATCTGGGTTTCAAAAGGAGTAACTCTCAATACACGCTGTAAATAAAATGTGAAAAAATTATCTGTCTCATATACATTCCAATTATTTAGATAAGTGGAATAGAATTAGACCATTGCCAAAGTCAGCTGGCTTTCTTGAAATAATTTGTGAGTTTGTTCTATATTCCCTCATATAGCTGTAGTTGAAGCTTCATATCTATATCCTTGTAAGCTGCAAATCAGAATATTTAATTAAATAAAATTATACAATGGTTAGGGATAATAGCTGTGATGTGCCTGGAAATTAGTAGGCACTTAATAAATGGAACCATTCCAACTTCTTGACTTTTGTTTGTCAGACAAAAACAAACAGCAAAAAAATACTCTTTTTAACAAGACTGATTATATTTCCTGTGTGTTAGTCCATTTTCACTATTGCTTCATTTTAAAATAACTGCAGATTATCACCACCATGTTCCTGTGCAGTTATGTTTGTTGATTTGGTTACATTTGACCTATGTTGGTAATTGATTTGTTCTCCGTTACCTCTCCTCCTTTTTCACATTTAGCTCACCATTTCACCCTGCATTCATCACCATTTATATTTTTCATTCCATTCTCCAATTATCAGTCTACTCAATATTTCTAAAACTTACTTTTATGTTTAGCCAATATAGTTACAAATATGGTAATTCTGATATATATCCTGGTGTTGT